GGAACGCGGCGGGAAAGGTCACGGCACAGGCGGCGTCCAATACGTTCGGTCTTATCGACAGCCAGTAGCGAATATCGGTCATTCCCATTGGCTGAAATTTCCTAGAGCCCTTCGGACCTTTCAGTTTCCATTGTCGCCGTTCGTTGATCAGGATCGCCACGTAACCCAGTTCAGCGAGCGTCGCGAAGACGAACATCATGCAACTGATCATCCAAACGTCTGAAAATTATAGTCGTACATCAGTCGGTTTAGGAAGCGCTTTCCAAATCAGTCAGCCTCTGTCTGAACAAGCGGCACCAGCACTAACTTACCGATGGCTTTCGCGTAAGCAACTCTTGGCAGATTGCGTATGATGTTGCTGAACTGGAAGGTAAGCGCCAGAACCGTGTTCACGCCAAGAGTAGTGCGTGCTGGCATGCTTGGTCCAAGCCAAAACGATATCCAACTTATGAAAACTGAAAGATATGTTGGAATGTACGCCTGCAGCAGGTACCAGCCGGTCTGACGGTTGAATGTGAAGGCTACGGTTAGCTCATCCCAGTAACCTGCTGGATATGGCTACAATGACACAAAAATTACGTCATGTTTTTGAAAAAAACTCTCCTTATTTAAGCAACAAAAAAATATGGTTTCGTACGCAGGAATCTGTTAATAATGGCTCGGGCATCGTCTGCTGCATAACTTGTATAGTTCCCTGAACAAATTATTTTGTATGGCATCATTGGTGTAAACCAACTCTAGTTGGTCTTAAGCCTATACTCGTGTGCATTGTCGTTGGTGTGCACGAACATGTACGTTGCTCAAGTCAGCAGTGTTATGCTGATGTGCATTCACGGCACTGAAGATGCTCAATTACCACGTAATATATTCGTCCTAAGTCTTACTTTCACTACCTCAAGGTGACATGAGGGTGACAACAGGTTCTCAAGACAAACTGTTGCATAGCTGAACCTTTAGGCTGTGGCATGTTTAGCTAAGCTGCGGAAACTTTGAAGATATGTCCAGACAAATGGAAGAGGCAACACTGTGTAACTCGCCTGGTCAGCATTGTGAGTTATGCCAAATCCTTTGCGATTTAATTACAGCTAAATCCCGTGAGTCTAGACTGCCGCCAGAGAAGGCACCACCTGGTCAGGCATGAAGGAAGAGGTTTCTAAGTATACCCAGGTCACGAATCGACGTTGATTTACTAACGTTGGCAACGTGCAACTGCCGATCGATTCAAAGTGAGGCAGGGCTTAAAAAGCACAAAGAAAAATTTTGGAAAATCAGGTGACACACTGTTGGATTTAGCGAAGTTAAAGAAAGAGATTGTAAGAACTTAATAGCGGACACATCCTCTGATAATCACCCGCTACAAATTAAAGAACGATATAGCACTAGTTGAGTTTATTATTTATGAAAGTGTGCAAGTCCGGTTCTGAGAGTTTGAAAGAGATACGAATTTCAAATAATCAAAGTTTATCCGCTAACGTCAAACCACCCTGTTGAAGGACTTGGAAATTTTTTTGAAGTTGTAGAAGTGGGTGAATAGGGAAAAAGTAATTACATGATCATAACTAGTGATTTTAGCGCAACAGTCGAACTGCAGCAATTTAGCAAATGCCATTTGGACAGATTTAGTTACGGCAGCAGGAAGGACAGGGTGAACTGGCTAGTTGAGTCTGCGACAAAACCTAGTGTAATGTATATGTCTAAAAGTGACGCAGTAAACAGTATAAATCCGGTTCAGCAGTTAAGGAATTATGTCTTCTGGCGAATTCGGAAAGCTGACGTTATTGGTAGCTGCTCAGCACATTGTGGTACTTTTTGCTTCATGTTTTGCGAGACATCCAAAAATTCCATTTTCACAAGGTGCGACATACAGACAGACAGTCAGTGTGGGCAACGGTTTCTGGCGAAGACCGCATTACAGCGAAACAAGTGGACTCGGGAGGTGAAGAACTGATCATCATATTAGCGCTCTTCCTGCCACGTTGTCTGGCAAAGAGAAAATTCCTGGTGATCGAGCCTTCACATCGGTAAATCTACTCCTCGAAAAGGAGGCGGAGAGGATTTGAAGAATCGGCTTTTTACCAGTCATATACAAGATCTTCGTCAAGGGACTGACAAATAGACTTTATGAAAAACTAGAAAACCGCGCAACCTAATGAAATCAAGGGAAGTGGGCGGGAGAACTGTAAAACTACATGCATTTCAGACAGCTCATATTGTAGAATCGATGGAATGACAAAAAAGGCGTGTGACACATTCGGATGATTGAAGACGATTTTACCCAGGAAACTGTCTTTGGTCATGAAACACAAGTATTCGATCAGCGCTAACCTATGCATGCG